TTAAGTCTTTCAGTGACCTTTTGTAGAGGTGCACAGTGAATGCCTTGATAGTTACACGTAATTTTTTAAAAATTGATTATTTTTATGAACTGCTTGAAAAGATTTTGCTCTAAAACCTGAGTATGTGCTTTATGAAGGTACGGGGTAAGGATGAAGGATGGTGGTCGAAGACTCTCTGTTTCTTTTTAATATAAACATATTTTGCATTTTCCAGTTTCACGACTTCACCTGTGTTTGAGGGGGTTTGTTGAGACATGTTGTGGTTCTTGCCCTGGCTGTGATATGTGGCTGCCTGTCATGGCATTACAGTGTTTGGTACTGCCAGAGATCTGACTTCTGGCCTCATAGCAGTATTAATTAGCCCGTGACTTTTCCTGAAGATCCAAAGTTTTTGCTCCGTGATTTCCATTTGAGTCCCAGGGCTCTCTAAACAAATGAGCCTCTGAGCTCCTTTTTTAGGCAAACCCCTTTTCTCTGCTGTCCAAGTTGTTTTTTTCCACAGCACCGTGGGAAACTTCTTCCAAATGTGCTTATCAAGCCCAGTTACAGACGAGACTGTTTTTTCTGGCATTCAGAAACCAAATACAAAACACCTTTACAAAGGTGCACAGGGAAGCAGCCTCACCTCATGCTTTAAAGTTTGTCAAGAGGCCTCTGATTCACCACTGGTGTCTGCCAGGAGGAACAGCTCAGTCCAGCTGGAGTCAGGAAAAATCCACAGGCTGCAGGTTTCCTGTTAAACACTCACGTGCAGGTGAAAATTTGGTGTTGCCTTAACGTGTGCAAACAGAGCTTTGGCTGGGGGATTTCTTAAGGACATGCAGAGAAGAATGGGACAAAGCAGATTGCCCAGACTGAATGCAGGGATTAGTAGGAGCAATTGTTTCATTTCTATCTGCAGTTCATACAGTTCTGACCCACCAGGATGATGTTCCAGGTGACAGAGATGTCCCTCTGGGTCCTGGTTAATGTGATTAGAAGCAGTGGGTATGCTCAACTCTGGGGAGGAGTGAGGGGCAGGGGCTGTGTGTGAATTGTAGCCTTAAGGTTTCAAGAGGTCAGAGAGTTTAGACACCTGGCCTGTCCAGCTCTGTCTGTCAGACACCTGCAGCAGTGACCAGCTGCTGAGAGCAGTTGCTGTGTTTGTTGGTTGGGTGCTTGAGGAGACCAGCCCTAGCGCAGCTTGGATACTGTGGGGTGAAACAGCGCAGGAAGTGGCAGTAAACATCTGTGGGGTAAGGAGGGGTTGGGAGGATGTGAGCAGAGGTTTGCATCTGGAGAGATTTAGGCCTGTGTGGGCAGGAACTGGGTTGGTATTTGGACATGAAGGTGTCCTGGAGCTTCTGCTTTTGGGCCTGTTGATAGAGAGCCCAGCTCAGGGTGGCAAGGCGGTGACACCATTCTGAGCACACACAGTTGACTCACAGCAGTGCTTCCAGCTCCCTTAGGAGGCCAGCAGGCCAGCTTCTGTCTCACAGCACACACTTTCCATCCATAAAACACCTTACCTCTGACTGTGCTAGCCCTGTGTGTGGAGTGTCAGCAGAAAAGGGTGGAAAAAGGTTTTGTGAAGCCTCTGTTAAAAATATGTGTATGCTGTACTTTTATCAGTAGCTGTTGTGTTTTTCCCTGCTGTGGCCACAGCCAGTCTCAGCCAAACCTACAGAACTCTCTGATTGGGAATAAGAAAAGCTTTGGTCACATGGGATTGGAATTGTTTGATAATCTGAGGTCAGTTGTTATTTAGTCTAATGCAGCATGGAAGCAAGGTTTGAGAACTTCAAGTCTTGTTTTCTGAAAGCAACACTGAAAAGTACTCATGCTAAAACTGGTTATAGATAAGTCCAATTGCTGGTGAAAAGTTGGACCTGGAGGATCCATAATCTCTGCAAAACCTTCCCCTGACTGAGCACTCACTCTTGGAGTGGAGCTGATTTTCTGAGTTATGCTCACTTGAGCTGAGAAGTGTGGGATAGGAACTGAAACAGTGTTCACTTAGAAAGAGCCTTACTAGGCTGACTTGCCTTATTCTGTACTGCTTCTATTTTTCCATTTACCTTTTCCTCTGTTACTTTGAATTGTGACTCTCCCATGGATGACAGGAAAATATTTACTGAAGGTGTGTAGAGTCTCAATGTTTGTAAATGGCCCTGTGTCCCTGTCTGCCCTGGGAAAGGACTAGAACAGAATGGTGGACACTCACCTTTAAAGTGGGAACTCTTCTCTCATTAGAAAATTCAGTTGCACTTTTGAAAGTGTTAATTTCAAATTGTTTCAGTGTTGATTTCAAGTTGTTTGCAGTCACTGTGAAGTGTCCATTTCCTATAAACCTTGAAATGCTGAAACTCTTTATCTGTTGATCTCCAGTGTTGGATCAGTGCAGGATCTGTTATGGGTCATATTTGGAAGCCAAATTGTGCAGCTCACAGGAGGCTGACACAGTGGGTTAATAGAGTAATCACTGGCATAGTGAGAATTTATTCTGGAATACTTTTCTGCAAGATCAGCTGGAAATGCTGTTGCCCTGTGGTCTGGGTGGTGTTGCTGTGTGGCAGGGATGGCTCAGTGGTAACTGTGGGGTATTCCTCACATTTGTGCTTAGGAGGGACATACACAATGTGATCCTTCCTTGGGTTTGGATGTTGAGATTCCTCAACATCAATCATGCTCAGGATTGCTCATTGTGTCCTGTTTTGGTGGGTCATTCTAGGGCCTCTCACTGTAATGCTGCCCAGATACCCAGATATGGACAGCATGTGGGGCCTGATCCACTGGTGCAGAGTTCTGGGCAAGGAGGAGGGTGGGAAAGTCTGTGTGTGTTAGCAATGATGACAGCGAGAGGCTGGGCAGGAAGGAGCTGGCAGTGATGTTGGTGCTGTGGGAGGACAGAGAACAGCCTCGGTGCTTTGGGGCTGCTGGAGCAGTTCCATGGAGCCCTGACCCTGCTCCTCAGCCTGCACGGAGTTACTGATGAAGGAATTTGGGATGGGTGGGGTGTGATCTTCCCAGCTGTGCAGCACAGCCTGGCACCCAGGCTGAGTGACACAGGTGAGCTCCAGAACAAATGAAAAAGAAACAAATCGTAGCTCTGTTCTTCAATGGTAGCTCCTAAATCTGGTGTAATTGCAGTGCTTTGAAGGTCATTAATCCACACTTCTGTCATGTAACAAAACAAAGCACAATGACAGCCACCTCTACAGAGCCTGTGGGAGCTGCATTGGCAGCTGGGACTGTGCCCTTCCAGCTGTGGATGTTCCTGAAGTGCTGCCACAGCTTCCAAAGAGTTTATTAAAAGTATTCAGAAGAAAAGATTGAACCCAGCCTAGTGGGAGAATCTACTGTTTGCTCTTCAGTACAAACAGTCCCACTTCCTCTTCCCAGAACAGGAGTGGGTTGGGGTTTTTGACCTTGCTGTGCAACCCCACGTGCTGCTCCACAGATCTGCATCCCCTGACAGTGACACTTGTGTTGGTTTGCTGGCTGATGTGCAGAGCTGTGGAGGGAGGGATGGTTTCATGGCCCTGAAGTTTAAAAGTTCCTGCAATGAGAAAATTCTGCTGCAGAGCCTTGTGCTGTTATTGCCCTGAATTGCTTAATTACAGTGATAAACATGCCCGAGTTGATCTCACAGGGCAGTGAAGATAAGGACAAACATAAATTTAATCTAAGTGTGAAGATAATCGAAAAACATCACCCCAAAACATCCAGCACAAATCTGATCAAATTCTTGTTCCTGCTGGAACTTCAGTTGCTTTTTGCAGTCTTTGAGGAAGGAAGTTGTCAGTGTTAAGAAAGCTTTTAGCTAAAGTATTGAGATGCTTGGCTTTGGGAGGGTGAGAACTGTGTGTGGGCAGGGTTTAATGGAGGTTCCCTTTAGAAGAAGTGTCTGTGGGATGCATTAATGTCATTTCTAACCCTGAGCAAAAGGGCACAGTAACCCTTCTGTGTGCCCACACAGGCAGAACAAATACCATGGGGCTGTGTTTGCTTTGGAAGGGCTGAACTAACCTTGTGGGAAGCAAACTGGTGTTTCTTACCTGCAGGTCAGGTCACTGTGTGTTGCTTCTTGTTGATCATTGAGCTGTTTACATGAATGCCAAAGCCTTCTCTGAGCCTGCAGTTGAGTTTTGGAAGTCTAACTTTGACTGAGTCTGATTTTGGTGGTTTAATATGCACTGGAAAGTTGAAGGTGTGTATGCCAGTGCTCAGCTGGAATCTCATTCAGTGAGGAACCTCAGGGTTTGGGGATCTGTTGATGCTGAGGCTCAGAAGCATGCAGTGCTTAGTATGAAAACAAGGTGTGAGGGGCAGGAGAATAGCCCTCCTCACACAGCTGCTGAGAGCCAGTGCAAGCAAACTGTACCCTGCTTTTCTGGGGAAGGAAGAGGTTGGGAAGCTCCTGGGAGCCTGCTGCAGGGCACTGGGTTCCCAGTGATCAAGGTGGAATGACCCTCTTCTTTTCATCGTGCTGTTATTCAGAACATCCTATGGCTTGCCCAAAGGCTGCTCATGTCTCGAATTTTGGCAGGGATGTGGGGAGGGAGGAGGAGGAGAGGTTTCTCTGTTGTTTGTCTTTCTGTGGTGTTCCTGGCTTGTGCAGTTTACAGTGACTGTGTCAGGAGAACTTGGTATCTCTTACATGCTGCAGGGTGAAGTGCTGTCCAGCTGTTTGGGGTTGGAATAACCCTTCCATGGGCTGGGCATCACGAGGAAGGCTGTAGAGAGCTGGGGATTTTAGCTCCATTATTCTGACTTTGCAATGCTTGGGCACTCATAGGTGCTTCTGATATTTTCTGAACTGTCTTGGAAAAGAAGAAATTTGCCATATGAAAGACAATTCGGCCCTTTGTAAAGGCTCAGTAACACCAGTCCTCTAAATTGATGCGAGGGTGGCTGCTGAATAGGGAGGGGGAAATTGTTCTTGAGATCCCTTTTATCCTCAACTGTTTAATTTGCTTAATTACTGTTTTTTAATTTACACTGACTTCTTATTTCCCTTCCCCTGCCTCTAGGCCCTATGAGAAAAAGGGAAAGCTAAGGATGCTGGAGCAGAACAATGGATTTCTCTTTCTCTTTCATGCAAGGGATCATGGGAAACACAATTCAGCAACCACCTCAACTCATTGACTCCGCCAACATCCGCCAAGAGGAGGCCTTTGATGGCAGCAGTGACATTGCTGAGGATGGGGGCCGGACACCGTACGAGGCTGCGCTGCAGCAAGGCTTCCAGTACCCCACGCCCACGGCAGAGGAGCTGCCCCCGCTCACCAACGGCTACCCCCCGGCCATCAGCATGTACGAGCCCCAAGCCAAGTACCAGACGTACACTCAGTATCCCAATGGGTCGGCCAATGGCTTTGGGACAGTCAGGAACTTCAGTCCCCCGGAGTATTACCCCATGGAGAACTCCAATGCGAGGCCGCATGACGTTCTGGAAAAACCTTCCCCTCCCCAGCTGCCACCTCCACCACCACCTTCAGCTCCACAAGTGGGGATTCCAAAGAAGACTGGCTCACCAGAGATCAAACTCAAAATAACCAAAACTATCCAGAATGGCAGGGAATTGTTTGAGTCCTCCCTGTGTGGGGACCTGTTGAATGAAGTCCAAGCGAGGGAGTATGCTAAGGCAAAACATGAAGGGAGGAAAGAGAAAAGGAAAAAAAGTAGCAAGCATGACTCTTCCCGATCGGAAGAGCGCAAGTCACATAAAATTCCAAAATTAGAACCAGAGGAGCAAAATGTAAGTGGAATGGTAATTTCAGCCATCTGTACACCTGGTATTGTTGATGGAGAGCGTGTCCAGCAGGGTTTGTCCTTGTTCTGGCTGTGTGCACGCTGAGTCACCAGGCTTTAGTTACTCGTCAGAGCCTCAGGATGAGGTTGCCAGGAGCTGTGTTTGTAGGTAACACAATGTTGCTTTACAGGCTCATATGAAAAACAAATTTTAGAAAAGGTTATATAGTGTTTTTTAAATATTATTTAGTGTTATAGCATGTTTAGAGTTTGCTACACTCTGGCCAGTGTTGAAGGTAGAACTTCTGGATAAAAGCTCACGCATTCCTGAAATTGCCTCTCACAAGAGATTGTTGAGTGGAAAGTCAGGCTGCTTGAGGTATTCACCAGTGAAACATGAATTATTCTTGTACCATATTGTCCATATCCAGAGGATGTACATCAGGTGGTATTAACTGAGATTCTGGGAAGCAAAGACACAGATTATGTTGGTGCCCTCTCATTCTTTTCCTTTCAGTTTCATAAGCCACTCCAGTACTTCTGTTTCCTTTTCTCGTGCTTGTTCTGCCACCTCTGTGGTTCTGGTTTCTGCCTCTCCCAGTTTGAGGGAATGGGTGGCAGAGAGGCTGGTAGTGCCAGGAATGGGGAAGTTGCCATATCTGGCCAGGACAGAAATTGCCCAGCAGAGGCTGGGCTGTTAGAGAATGTGGCTGAGTTTGTTGTAAGGTCTGTAAAAGCCCTTGGTGCTTGCTGCTTTAAGGCAGAAGATCCTGTCCTGCAGGGATCAGCTCTGATGCAGTGGAGTGGGTTCTGCGCTCCATGGGGGTGCTGTTGGAGCCCCTGTGGGGTGGCTGGAGGAGCTGCTGTGTCCTGCTGGCACTCCATGAGCAGGGTCTCTCATGCACTGTGCCTGCTTTCTGGCCAGACTCTTATCACCCCCACATCAGGCTGTCAGTTTGTTTCCCTTCTCACCAGTGACTCCTGTTCTACTCCTGGAGCTTCAGCTGTACCTCTCCCTCTGCTTACCACAGGAATGGAATCTTCTGTCTCTCACAGACTGAACTAAAACCTTACATCTTGAATTCCAAGTTCCTAGTCATGTGTGTCATCCAGAGTTCACCAGAAATCTTAGTCTTGCTATTGTCTTCCTTGTTGCTTCCATTTCCCTTTCTAAAGGTGGTGTTGCAATAAATGTTTCATGTTACCCAGCCCGTTTCAGACATGGGCTGCTCTGACAGGAACAGGATTTTGTGCTGGTGGTTTTCGGTATGAGTTTGCCAGGGCAGTCTCAAGTTCATCATGCCATCATTTTGCTTTCCACTGCACAGTTTCATCTTCATGTACTCTTCTGTCATCTTCAGTGTTAATGGTGTGAGACTTGTGACTTGGGATCATCTTCATAGGAACAAACAACTTTTGGTACAAGTATAGTTGTTTTATAGTTTTACACTCAAAACTGTGAGTTTTGAAATCAGATGATCACCAGTTGTTCCTTATTCTGACACTGTAATCTCGGTGGAAATCCACTGACTGTGAGGGGATGGCCATACTGCAGAGGCCAGAATGGAAATGTTGTGAGAACACTGGTGAATGTCAAGCTCTGAATCCTTGTTTTAGGAACTGGCCTCTCTGCTCGCTAGCTGGGAGTTTGCAGCCTGTGAGCTCAGCTCGACTCTCCGGGCAGAGGGGAGGTTTCACCAACTCCCTGTAGCGAAAGAAAGGCAGGAATCAGTGCTGTGCTTCCTGCTGTACAGAGAGGAAGAATTTCTGCCCACCAAACAGCAGTGTGATTAGTCTTAAATGGTGGATGTGTACAGACAGCTCCAAACTGGGCTGTGCCACCCCTGACCTGAGCTGCTCTGTCCCTTTCCTTGTGTCCCAGCTCCCTGGAGCACACGGCATGGACTGGTGTGGGGTCTGGGCTTGGACTGGGAATAACGGGGGATGCCATCATTATTAGTTCCTCGCTGCTTGTGTCTGATGTCTCCTTTTGCTGCTCTCTGAGTCCTTTGACACTTCTCTGCTGCAGGAAAAGCCAGTGTGTGGCATCTGTCTCCTGAGATAGTTCCCAGCCCCACTTATCTCAGCCCCTGACCCTCACACCCACTGGCATGGCCGCCCTACATCAGTGCCAGCTTCTGGTCGGGGCTGATTCTGCTCTGCACTGTGGACTTTGGATCCTCCAAATATATTTGTCAACACTATGCAGTTTAACATCGTTTTTACAATTGTCATGTTGTATATTTAGCATAATTTATGTACTGCAGTTCTTGCAAATAACTGGTGTACAGTGAGATTCACCACATCAATATGGATATGCTCACATGGGGTTCTCTGGTTTTTGGAAATTGTGTGCTATTTTAGGTGGAAAGTTATTTGAATTTGCTGTTCCTTAATGTTTGTTCTTCTGTCATCTGTTACAGGAGAACATAGTTATATCCAGGTGTGATAGTAATGTAAATAGTGTAGGGGAGATATTTATTGTGATGTTGCTATGTTAATTGGGTACAAGAAGTAGACATATTCATATTTTCTGGATTCATGGTTGCCTTTCTCTCTGCAAATTATATTTTTCTGCCTGGTTTCACTATTATCTTCTGCTGTTTTACTGTCCCCTTACCTTGTTTGTGTTTGTTTCCTTTCTTCTCTTCGTTGTTACCTATTTCTTAGAGACCAAATGAGAGGCTTAGCACACTCTCTGAGAAACCAAGAGAAGATGCAGTGTTGGAAGAAGCCCCGGTTAGTACATGCACCAGTTAACACTTTTGGAATTTAGTGAATGTCACTATTTCTGGACTGTTTCTTCCATTGATTCTTTAATTTATCTGACAAATCAGTTGTCATTTCTTTTAAACTCTCATTGCTCTCATTGCTGCATCAATGCATCTCTTATTGTACTGGATTTATTGCTTTATTTTATCCTAAAAGCAGTATTTTTAATCAGCTTAGGAAGCAGAATCGTTTTTGGGGGTGGTGGAAGTTGCTCTTTTGTGTCTCAGTTTGTCGGTGATGTTGTTACGTAAATCCCAGCTGTGTGCAGCTCCTTTCTTTCATGTTTCTAAGAAATGTTTTTCTCATCTTGGACTATCAGACCTCAGGGATCTCTGAGAGAACAACAACAAGTCCCTGTGGATGGTGTGTGCATCTCCAAGTGCTCTCAGTCCTCTCCCGTGGCTTTGACCTGGTGTTTCCTTTGCAGGTGCAGCAGCTCGTGCCGTCCCTTCCAGTGCAGGTCACCCACGACGTCAAGTTCCAGGTTGGGGATCTGGTTTGGTCCAAGGTGGGGACGTACCCGTGGTGGCCTTGCATGGTGTCGTGTGATCCGCAGCTTGACGTGCATACCAAAATTAATACAAGAGGTAAGGGAGGAAGCTCTTTGCCAGAGTGTCAGGTGTCTGTAGCTGTTCCTTTGTTAAAAATACCTTCATTCTAAACTGCCTTTGCGGTGTGAATTCTGCTCTGTGTGTGCTGAGCAGGACAGTTCTGACAGGCACAGTACCTGGTACGTGACCTCTGCAGGTGGAGCTGTGGGAATGGGTTGTGCACTGGTGTTTCTGATTTTCTCAAATCAGTGTGAGAGTGTTCAGTGTGGGCAGGCTCCTGAACTTCCATCTTAAACTGTTCTGGATCTGGCCTGTTGTATTTCTGCACTTAAGGCAGGTACCTCCACTTTCAGGAATGGAGTGCTGGGAGGAGGACAGTGTGAGCTGAACAGGCAGAGCGATGTTGATACAGCTGCTGACTGGTGTTTGGTGTTTCAGGTGCCCGGGAATACCACGTGCAGTTCTTCAGCAACCAGCCAGAGCGGGCCTGGGTGCACGAGAAGCGCGTCCGGGAGTACCAAGGGCACAAACAGTACGAGCAGTTACTGGCTGAGGCAGCCAAGCAAGCCAGCAACCACTCTGAGAAACAGAAGGTACAGGGGGCACTGGGGGGATCATCTCTGTAAGGGAGGTGCTCTGGGGCAGGTTTGGAACTCTTCAGTGCTTTGCCCTGGGAAGGACTGGCTGCATCTCGCTAGCAGGGAATTCAGTGCCTACATTCAGTGCCAAAAATACCCTGTAAACGGAGAGCAGACTGCAGTCTGCTGCCTGAGAGATGCAGAGACCCTCAGGATTGTGTTTAAGTGGTGTAGTGGCAAAATCTTCAGTGTAACCAAGTGCTTGTCTTGTCCCTTAAGATTCGCAAGCCCCGGCCACAGAGGGAGCGAGCGCAGTGGGACATTGGCATTGCCCACGCCGAGAAGGCGCTGAAAATGACCCGGGAAGAGAGGATAGAACAGTACACCTTCATTTACGTAGACCAAGAGCCAGAGGAGGCTTTGGCCAAGGCCAAAAAGACTGCTGCTTCCAAATCAGAGGCCAGGAAGAACCGGCGGCCGAGGCCAGCGCCGAGCACGCAGCCGGAGCACACCGGCGGCGCGGCAGGGTCATCGCCCCCGCACGTTGAGGCGCGCAGGCTGGGCCAGCGCCGGCAGCCCAGCCTGGAGGAGGAGGAGGCACCACCTGTGAAAATCGCCTGGAAAACAGCTGCAGCTAGGAAGTCCCTACCAGCTTCCATAACCATGCACAACCTGGATCTGCAAAAGTGTAACATGTCTCCAGTTGTTAAAATTGAACAGGTTTTTGCCCTTCAGAATGCTGCTGGGGATGGAAAACTCATCGACCAATTTGTTTATTCCACCAAGGTACATGTTTGGTGCAGTGACCCCTCCTTTGCTCCAGAGTTATCCCGATCCTGCCTTACCGGGGAACTTCAGCTGTGTCCACCAAGCTTTCACCATCCATGTTCCTTTCATTGGAGAGATTAACAGACAGATGTGACAATAGAATCTTTCAGTGCAGCTCTGACAGTAGCTCTTGCTGGTGGCAGAGCAGCTCCCTACAGATAGCCATATTTTTGTTCATAACACGTTAAAAATATTAAAGCTGTTTAACTTCAGCTTCCTAGTTGAAATAATTCCAAAATTCTTGATAAAATCAGTGGTTTTGTGGGAAACAGATGAGAAAACTGTTAATATTGTACTAAAAAGTAATAACTACATTTTGTGTAACAGACTTCTAAATTGAGTTCTGCCTCTGAGCTTCCTTCAGGTGTTCAGCAGCTTACCACAGTCAGTGTTAAGGAAAAGGCTTAGGACTATTTCTCTGCCTCCTTCTTCTGCCTCTCTACCTGGAGAGTATTTATTTCATCCTAAGCCCTATAGAGAAGGTAATGTTTAGAAAAGTCACTGGAATTATGTTTTCCTTGTGTGTAAGGGGAGATCGAGAGGGGTGGAAAGTTCTGCAGGGAAGCAGCTCTGTAGTAGATTAATCCTGTGCGTGTGTTGGGTTGGAGAGCATTGATTATTTCTGTTCTGAGATTCAGGGGCAGGTCTGTTACCTGGTAGCAACACACCTTTATAACAGGGGAAGACAATCGTTTCCTCTTTTCTTTTCAAGGGAGTTGGTAACAAAACAGAAATAAGCGTCAAAGGACAAGAGAAACTTAATTCTTCATCAGCTCAGAGAAGTGAAAAAGCAGTGGTGCAAAACACATCCTCTCCTGAGACGACTTCTGGGGCAGCAGGTAGGGAAACAGCAGTCCTGGTCTGAACCTGAGCCCTCAGCATGAAAATTCAAATATCAAACCCAGCATTTTCTCATTACTTAAAAATGATTAACATCTTTCTGTTTACATAATAATTGTACTGAGCATGGCTGGTGTCACACATGGTGAGCCAACACACACAGCACAGCTTGGGGGGGGGATTGGTGGTTTGGCCTCTGAACTTTGTCTGCAGCTTACAGCCTGAGTCATCAGGGGATGATGGCCTGTGCAGAGCAATGGCAAGTTGCTTTAGAAGACAACCCAGTGGATGTGTGTTAGCAGGGTATTGCCATGGCTTTTGGCCTCAAATATAAAGTACAGGAGCTGTGGTGAAAGCAAAAGAGTCAGGAGTGGCACATTTCAGTAGGGAATGTCTGAGTCAGGGTGGAGACTTCCCTAGGCTTTCTTGCTGAGTTTTTGCATGACCTGTTAAAGAACAGGGATTTTTAAAAAACTGCTTCAACTAACTCCACCGACCAAATGAGGTAGTGCTTGTCTTCTGAAGCCATCTCAGGGGGCACATCATAAAGCACTGAGTTTTGAAATATCAGCTCTGATGGAGAAGAACCACTGAAGCAAATAACAGAACTTGGGCCTGAAATGGGAAAACCTTGAATAAGCTATTTGAATTTCACAATGTAGCCAGGTGTCACTTCTGCTTTAACTATCCATCTGTTTGATTATTTCTCCCTTTCCAAACATGAAATAAATGAGAACCAGTCAGAAATCTCAGTGGACAGCATCCATGAGTCCTCTGCAAACACGCTTCAGGTTCTGTCAGTGTGCTGGTTTTAGGCAGGGTTATTTGATGTGTTGGTTTATGGAGTGTTTGGGACTGCAGCACTTGGCCAGGCACTCTGGATTTCCTGCTGTGAATGGGGATTCCCCTGCTGTTGACAGCGGTGGTTCTTCCCAGCTGTGGTTGCTGTGGCTACTGGAATTGCCTTGCAGCAGGAGAGGCCATTGCTGTTCTGCTTCTCTCACCTGGGATCTAAAGGCTTCAGCTTCCCTATGGCTCCTCAGATGTAGGTGAGAATTCTGAGCCTCTCTTTTTTCATTTTCTTAGGCTTTTTGGATACGTAACACTCCACCTGCTAATACCCTGTAAGTGCCTGAGCTTACCTGCAGTGCACACTCCAGTCACTCTCAAAGCCATTCCCAAAGTCCAGTTTTTGGTCCCCTCTTGTGGAACATAACTGCCAAGTCCTTTTTTCAGATGTAAGGTCAGTGGAACTTCAGAATCCCTTTACGGTGAAGTATCTGCCAGACTGACTCTGGGAGTCCGTATTGATAACCTGCAGTCAGATGCCCAGAATTCACTAATGCTGGAAAGATAAGTCCCCTAATTGAAATCTGCAAGTGCAGCCCTGAGAATCCTTGGTGCTTCTGGCCTGCAGACACTGAACTAGGATTTATCTCAAGCGAGGTGGAGAGCTGTTCCAACATCTGTCCTGAAACTTTGGATGAAAATATACCTGAAGGTGGAATGGGAGCATTGTGAAGGGGATGACTGGATCCTTGGAAAGCAGGAAGAGGAGAAGGTGCCCGTTGCAGTGGTCAGTGTTGCTGCCAGCCAACATTAGGCACTCTGGTTCTGGAATTCTCTGATCCAGGGCTTGATCTTGTCTCCTTGGCTTCAGCAGGGGCAGCACAGGGAGAAAATCCCTTCTTGGTTAAAGTAACTGTTGGTCACATCTGAAGCTGCTTGAGGGGATTTTGGTCACACAGCAAAGTGACAAAAGATGTTGCCCAGCTCTGATGTGGTGACCCACTGAGGCTGAGGGAGTTCCTCATGGCATGGGGGCCTATTGGAACCAGAAGTTACACGTGGACAGACATGATGGATGTTGACCCGAGTAATTAATTTCTAAATGATTAATAACTAATTGCTATTATTCATTAATTCGTATGCTGTAAAAGTTCTTTCCCTTGAAGAAAAAGAATTTTTCCCCTCAGCAATCCAATTGTTGTAACATGATAACTTTTCCAGCTGGATAGTTCAGTTACTGAGACATTCCTGAGCCATGCAGCCATGGGAAAAATGCTCATCCAATGGATCAAGAGGAGTTTTCATTTTTTTCTCTGAAGTCCTTTTGCAAGGCTGTCTTTCAGTCTGGTTCAAGCCCGTGTGTGTCTCTAGATACTTGATCTACTGACAAGACCAGGCAGGTTTACAGCTCCTAACAGTGCATCCATCTGGCTCAGTCAGCTCCCAGGAGTTTGCAGTTTTGCTTGGAAGAAAACAAAGTACTTCACAGTTGTGTCCTCTTTAGGTGAAACCTCCCGGACTGAAAACCCAGAATAATGCTTCCCAGCAGCTCACTGTAAATCCTCAGGTGCCAGTTTTCTGTCAGCTCCAAGTGTGTGCTTGTTCCAACAGCTGCCCATGGTGTTGATTGTCATGTCTGTGGCTCTGTGTGCCTCTTTGGGAGGTGCTGGACCACAGAAAGGTCTTTAGATTTTGCTAGCCTTAGTTGCCAAAAATCCAGCTCCCTCTTCATCCGTTGAAATGTCACAATAACCTTCATTAATCTGAGGGTTTTTTTCTATGGTAAAATTTTTAAAAACTTGCTTTTCACATTCATTAATGAAGGTAACACACTGTGGTTGATGCTTCTGTTTGTGCTGAGTTTTTCTTCACCTCGAAACCTTCAGGTGAGCATTGAGGTCTGGTGTGGCTGCAGGTGGTACAGGGTGAGGCTGGCTCCAGGTATGTGACAGAGGCTGTCCCCCACAGAGGGGGGCACAGCTCTGGCATTTTGGGGGAAATCCTGGAGCTGTACGTATGAAATTTCTAGTTTGTTTTTGTTCAAGGAGTTGGTTGTGGCTACCTTCCCAAAACACCAAAGATGGACTGTTTGTTTCAAAATTACCCAAATGAAGACCGTGCCTGAGAGGTGTGTTACGGATTATGGAAATCTGTTTGCCCTAAGCTGAATTCCAGCCTTTTGTTCCACTCTTGTTACTTGTGTCTGTTTTCTGAAGCTGATCTGTCTCTGGAATCAGAATGTGTGTCTGCAGCCACCGCACCAGCTAGTCAATAGCTTGGAACTGAATTTAAAAATAAAATATTCAAAAGAGGACAAAGTCTTGGTTTCATTCCTTTACCTCTTGTTTTGATGCTGCACATCTTGGTGTACCTCAGAAATACAAGGAATCATATAATGGAAACCTTTTTCCTTCTTCAGGTTCTGTAGAAAAGAAGCAACAGAGAAGATCGATTCGAACCCGCTCTGAGTCTGAGAAATCTGCCGAAGTTGTGCCAAAGAAGAAGATCAAAAAGGAGCAGGTTGGCTTCCTCCATGTAGAGAGTTAAAATATATCGTATTCATAAATGTTGTGGCTTATATTGGTGCCTTTTTATTTTTCTCCATTTTTCCCCATCGGGTTTCGGTTTGGACTATCCTCCATGAAATCCCCCTGTCAATGCCATTGCTGTGACTCTGCTACTGGCATCTTCTCAGTATCAGTCAGGCTATGGAATTGGGAACGCAGTGATGGATGACTCCTAATGAACCTGCCATGTTTCCTTTGAGATTTCTGTTCTGAGCAAAATGGGTTTGTTTCAGTGATTTCTCTTGGATGGAATTGCCACCAGGTTCCTTCCTTTGGCTCTTGATTTAGCTGCTGGTTTGTGTTGAGGTTTTGTTTTTCAAATGAAGTTAGAGTGATTAATTTGACCACTTCTGAAAATGGACTTCAAGAATGATTTCACTTAAAGATGAATAGTCAGACTTTCATGTTGGCAGACATCAGTAAAACAGTTCTGGAATATACCATTTTTTCCTGAAACAGTTCTCACGTGTACAGGGCATTCCTTTAATCTGGATGTCAGATAGACAAATGTTGTTGCTTTAAAAAACTTTTAATGATAAAAGATTTCTGCATGGAAATGAGTAGGAGAGTGCAGTGGATGGACAGAAATACCAAAACCTGCACACACTTTTAACAAGTTTGTCAAAGTTGTTGGTTCTTCTCTTGCATGGTTGATTTTTCCCTCTTCAAGGACCTCTGTCTGAAAGCTGCGAACTTCTATATAAATGTTTCATAGTTTAGCTTTTCCCAGTGAGAATTTTTAAAGAGGGACAGTCAGGATGAAGATTTATATGGGAAGGGGAAAAAATATTTTTATGTCTTTAATTTATTCTTTGCCCTTTGCGCTTTATTTTGCACTTCCTTCACTTCAGAGACTGAAAGTGAACTCAGTTGCTTTTTTGGGGTTTTTTTTCCCTTGTTTTCCCTTTGATGCTGCAGCATTTCTGCACTGCTGTGCAGCAGAGGAGTGCTCCAGCTCGAGGCAGTTTCTTGCTAAAACTTTAAAGCAATTTAAGTGTTGGGTGTGTGACACCTGATGTGGTCCATGGAGCCTCTTGGAGCTGTTGCAGCCTCCCCCTTTCAAAAGAGTTGTTTTATATTTGTAAAGGTTTCTTAATTTAACAAAGGTATAAGAACCAACAAGATGAACTTCATGGATGCCAGGTAGCTTCATGTGCTTCTCTGACCTGGCTGACTCAGTCTGTGGACATTAATTAAAGTGCTTTTCTCAGGAGAGGTGTCTGACTAAAGTGAAACCCAGGGGCACTGTAATGCGCAAAACCTTGAATGTATTAAGTTAAATTCAAAAAAAAGAAAACTTAATAACTTCTTACAATTATGCAACAATATTTGTTACCCAAAGTCAAGTTTTCTTGATTCCCCTGTTAGTCTGCAACAACTTGGTATAAAAATTATAACTGGAACGAGTACAATTAATGGGAAAAACAAAATGTTGATGCTACTGTTACAGTGACTAGTGGAGAAATAAAAGTGATTGTTTAGATTTTATATTTGTATTACAAAATGTATCCTATACAAATCCTTCTACTGTATGTTTTTACCTATTGTACAACAAAATAAAATATTTTTTAAAAAAATTATAGAATAATCCTTAAATATTTACTAAATGTGTTTTTCCATGCATATGTAACCACATTGCAAAGAAGTAACTTGTAATTCTTAAGGTTGAAAACAGGATTTTAGGCAACAGCTTTCTTCTGTAAATATCCAGTCACCAAATTCCCACATCTTCCATGTATGTTGGCAGAACAGTTCCTAAACTTCTCCGTAGGGTGAAGGACTGGAAGTGCTTTTGCAAGGTTGTAAACTTTTCCATTTGGCTGCTGAAGTGCTGTGCCCTCGAGTTCCAGCTGTGTAGAGCCCTGCACCAGGGCGCCCGGGCGGGCCCGTGCAGAGCTCTAGACGGGGAGGAAGAGCTCCAGGAGCTCCGGGGAGCGCTGCTGGGAGCGGCCCCACACTGTGGCTCAGTAGCCCAGTGCCAGCCCTGCCGGGCAGGTGTGCTCACACAGGTGTGGGGTTTGCACAGCACCAGGGGTGGCTGCCCCGAGGCCCCCACTCCTGCCTGCTGGACACGGATACAGCGCTCCTGTCACCTTCGTGCCCCAGGGGAGAGCGGAAGGACCTGGCTGGTGCCCCAGGGCTCCCCGGCTGCGGGCACCAGCGTAGGCAGGAGTGGATCCAGCGGGACGCGGAGGCTCGGGCTGAGGAGGGGATGGCAGCTCCCACCTCAATTCTAACCCCTTGAACTGACCTGTTTGCTTTTTGGTACTAGGGAGAAACTTTCCTCTGGTGTTAACTGTGCATTTTCCTTTCAAACAGGTTGAAACTGTCCCACTGGCAGCAGTGAAGACGGGGTTGCAGAAAGGTGAGTGCCAGGTGGAAATTCCCTCTACTGAACTCAGTGGTTCATGGTCCTTGGGCAGCAGTTTTGCTCCATGTGAGCTGTAATGTTTGGTGCTCTGCAGGGCTGAGCTCTGTAGAGCTTCCCTGGGGACGGGCTGTGTTTGGGACTCTGGTCCTTGTGCCCTGCTGGGGGTTTGTTCATGTGCTCTAAGCCCCTGAGTCCTTCTGGGCATTTCTTAAAAGTCTCTGCTTAGCCACAGTTAAAGATGGATGATGAAGAGGAAATCTCCTAAGGATTTATCTTCCCTCAGAGACAATTTACTGCCTTCCTCCACTGTGACACCATGTTCAAAAGTTTGTCGAAAGCTCTGCCTAAGCTGATTTCCAGTTAATTTTCAGGGAGAACTCAACTAGTAACAAAATTACAAACTGAAAATTAAGGCAAATAATGGAATCCAAACTCATCTTTCTTTCCTTTATTAAGTTGAAGCAAAAAGTTGAGGACATATATTAAACTAATTTTAGCATGTTGTGTTAAGGTGCCAGTGAGATTTCAGACTCCTGTAAACCCTTAAAGAAGAGAAGTCGTGCCTCCACAGACATGGAACTGACCAGCTCAGCCTACAGGGACACGTCTGACTCTGATTCCAGAGGACTCAATGATTTACAGGTAAAGGTGTGTTGGTTCTCACAGGGACCTGAGCAAGCTGTCAGTGTACAAGAGGCTTTTCAGTCCATTATTGCTAAATGTGTGAACACTGTTTTTTACCAACTTTGAGTCTTGTATTGTCTGAAAACATAAAGCCTCTGTTTGCTTCTAATCTGCTCCATTGGTTTGGTATGAAAATACAATGTTTACTTCCAGATTTTCCTGTTGTCTGGCAAAGCTTTGGTTTAGATCATGGTTTGCTCTGTGGAAGGTTTGAAATTCTTGGGGAATTGGGAGATGCTGCTGTATCTGGTGTAACTCCAAGGAGTGTCTGTAAAAGTAAGATTTTACGGTGTTTGGCTTGTACAGGTGAAGTATATCAAGAAGGCAGCGCTTGTGTCACCCCAGTGCAGTTCAGCACCTTCCCAGGACCTTTGTGTGTCTCTTGACCTACCAAATGGTCTTTTGATCAACAGTGACAGAAATATTTCCCCCAATGTGGTTGTCCTTTGGAATTGTCTGGTGTGAGTGCCGTGGGTTTTCCTCTTTGCAGGGCAGTTTTGGGAAGCGTTCAGACAGTCCCTCGGCCACTGCTGATGCCGATGCCTCGGATGTGCAGTCAGTGGACTCCAGCTTATCCAGGAGAGGAACTGGAACAAGTAAAAAGGACACTGTTTGTCAGGTAACTGGTGATACTGGGAAGTGCTGGACTAAATGTGTATCCCCTACTTCTGTTAGTTCTCGTAACTCAACCTCTCAGATAAAATATCCAGGGTTTTAGGAATTTTTATGTTCTGGAAATGATTAATATTAAATGATTCCTGGGCCCTCCTGCAGGGCAGAAAGCTCAGTAGCTGTAAGGTAATGTTTAATCCATACCTGTCAGCATCAGTAGAAAAAGTAGATGCCATTTTCTGCTCCATTTGGAGATTCATGATGGTTGGTCAGGACAGGACAGAGTGAGAATTTTTCAGTATTTTGAAAAAAAAAATCCTGGGATCTTCAGTCCAGTTCCCTGGTCAGTAGTAAAGGGCCTGAAGAACAAGAGCAGCTTGTTCCCTGGGAAATGGAGGGGAGTGCAGGTGGATCCTGTGGTGCCTGTCCTGTCTCTGTCCTGGCTCACACCCGTTTCCCCAGAGCAAGGTGCAGGGAGTGCTGCGATTGTCCTCGGCCTGAGACTCCTCGCCAGGTTCAGTTCTCCTGCCTTGCTGTAATTCTGAAGCAGTTGCAGGCAGTTGCTGTTGTTAGCAGCTGGCAGCCACTGGCATGTCAGGGTACCCTGTTCCTGCTGAGCTCCCCTGCCTCTTGCAGATCTGCGAGAGCTCCGGCGAGTCACTGCTGGCCTGCGAGGGGGAGTGCTGCAGCATGTTCCACCTAGAGTGTCTCGGCCTGAAGGCCACGCCCGAGGAAAAGTTCATCTGCACTGAGTGTAAGAATGGTGAGTGTGTTCCTGTGCCTGGAAAACTGGGAGGGATTTCCCCCTTTGCTCAGGAGCCACATTTTGGTCAAAGCAAACCAAGATGGTGCTTTCTGGGGATTTGTCAGTAAGTTTGGGTTATTCTGCTGCTTTTTTAACCTCTGAGACCAGATTCTCATTTTTCCTTGTAAGAAAAAAAAAGGGTTTTACTTGGAATAAGGGAGTTTGATGTGAGCCCCTAGCTCAGTGTTCCTGTGGATCACAGTAACCACCCAGCCTGTGGGATGGGAAGGAACCCGTGTTGCTCACAGTCTCTTGGCTTCAGAATTTGTTGGGACAATATCTGTATGTCAGAGTTGGCTCTTACAGTTGGGATTCCTTACTCCTTCTCTTCCAAGGAGAGCACACGTGCTTTTCCTGCAAGCTCCCTGGCAAGGACGTGAAGCGCTGCTCTGTCAGCACCTGCGGGAAGTTCTACCACGAGGCCTGTGTGCGCAAGTTTGCCACGGCCCTGTTCGAGTCGCGGGGCTTCCGCTGCCCGCAGCACTGCTGCACTGCCTGCTCCATGGACAGGGACATGCACAAAGCCAGCAAAGGTGAGGGCAGCTGCAGCACCACGGGAATGCTTCGTCCAGTTCCACTCCAGCACAGCTTGCAGCAGGGAACCAGGGTTTCCTCCTCACTGAGCTCAGCGACTGAAATAGCTCATGGGTGGGAGGCAGCAGGCAACCTGGCACTGTGGAGTGTACCTGGATCCACACCCTTGGTCAGCTCCTGGTGCTGGCTTTAAGGGAAGCCAAGGGTTCATAGTACGAGGCCACTTAAAGACAGTTTGTAGTGGCATTGTGAACAATTATTCTTCAAGGAAAAAGATCCTTTTAGAAATTAACCAAAATGTTTAAACCAAACAAATAGACTCTAGAATGATAGAAGGTTGTTTTAAAGTGAAGGTTAAGGGGTAATATTTGTGAAACATTTTTGAGAAAAGAGATATAGTTATTTCTTTATTTACCCTGTACTACCATTGAAATAGACCCAGCCTTGCCTTTTCCTGTGGGGAATTCTGCCCTGTCCTGAGGTGGGCACTGGTTGTCCTTAATAGTCTTTTCCAGCCTGGGTGATGCTGTGCCCCGGGTGACACGTGCCTTTGCTGTGTTCTGTTGAGCAGGTCGCATGGCGAGATGTCTGCGTTGCCCCGTTGCCTATCACTCAGGAGATGGCTGCATCGCTGCAGGAAGCTTGTTTGTGTCATCCCATATCCTCATCTGTAGTAACCATTCCAAAAGGACTCACTCCTCATCAGCTGTAAATGTAGGCTTTTGTTTCGTTTGTGCAAGAGGTGAGACACTTGGTTTTTCCCCGTTTTACAGTTGTGTTGTCATTTGTGCAGTTTAGTGGTGAAAAGAGTGTTTCATGAGGAACTCCTCCCTTAGGTCTTGCTGGGGTTAAATGCTGCCTGGGATTTTTTATCTTATTTTGGTCAGCAATTCTCATGAGATTGCTCTGTTGGTCCATAACATTTGATAGCCAGAAGCAGCAGTAGGCACTCAGGCCAACTTGTTCTGCCAGCAGGGAAAAGCAGATCCCAGTCCCCTCATTCCAGCCTTTTCATGCTGAGAATGGCTGCTGTGATGTTAATCACTCTGTTAAGCAGAAGGGGATTCTTTCACTGATACAAATTTAAAATTGTTTAAGACTAAAAGGTGGGATTTACTCATGAATTAGAAAAACTCAATTTATAACTGTCATCACATTTGAGAACTGTGAAAGAAAACCTTTAGCAGTACTGTATGAGCAGGTTTCATGCTGGGCTTTTCCATGTATCAGAGTTCTTTTTTTTCTTTTTCTTTTTAACTTTTTTCCCCACTTGTTACTTTTATGGTTCTTCAGTCACCAGGGTTCTGCCAGAGAGCGGCTTAAAAACTGTCAGTGCAGCAGTTGCTTTGGTCCCAAGATTCAAAAGTACCTTTATTCTTAGGCATTGGAATGATATTAATGTGTACCATCTACAGAATGCCAGCAGTTTATATTGAACATGTACTCTGCAGCAGTTTTGAGAGTCACTAGTAGGGAAATGAAAGGGAGCTGGATCCTGAAGTTACTTGTTTGTCATTTGTGTTCATTCAGGTGGAAGTTTAGTTTGGCTTGACTTTGCAAGAGCAGAGTAGTAATTACACATCTCAGCATGACAAGAAATGCAGAAGGAATTTTTCATGCTTTTTTTTATTTTTTTTTCCACTTTACATTTGTTTAGTGATTCTCTTTATACCTGAATCTGACTCCATCAGAGTCTACTGCACAAGTCTGTATTTTCTCCTGGCAATCTAAATAACGCCCTGAGCCCTGGCAGATGGAATTCCCTGTCCTGTGTATTCCCAGGATCTTAATTAGGAGAACTTGAACAGTTGCAAACCATTGCCACTGCCTGAATCATCTGTGTCTTAGAGCAGCTCTCTGCTTCTTCATCTAGAGCATTCTTACGGGGCTGGTGTCCACCAGGCCTGGCTGGAATCAGGAGCCAGAGTGCCAAGGACAGTACCTGGGGCAGGAGCACTAAGCCACCTGCTCAGAGAGAAATGGGGAGCTGAACACTTTAGAAATCCTTGGACATCTCTGTGAGAATGGTGATTTAATTAGTGTTAGTCACTATCAGAAGCAGTGACTTTGTATTTAGATACAGTTCCTGAAGTGAGAAATGTAGATGAGAGACAATCTATAAAATATACAAACTTGCTTACAGTGAGGTACTTGAAATAGGAGATATTTAAAGACTTCTTACTCAGCACCCTGCAATACCCTCCAGTCAGCACATTACAGTTCACCTTGCTGCATGTGTTCCCTTGTTTTAGGAATGCTCCCAGTGATGTGTATCCAGATGGGCTGACCCCAGTCTTCTTACAGCAGTGTTTCAGGCACCATCCAAGAGCTTCTGTCCAGCCCTCAGCTGTGTGTCTGTCCCTCAGGGGAAGAACTGGGGCCTCTCTTGGTAGCTCATCTTTCCTGTTTCTTTGGGGCTCAGTTGCTCTGCTCTTCCCGTGAGTTACTGGCCAGGTGCTTCTGCTCCGCAGCTCTGGGCTCTCAGCTGGGCTGCCTGGCTCTTTGAATTAATGAGGAAAAGCTCTTCTTGCTGCAGGAGAGGGAATTGCAAAGGCCTGGAATGGAGTTCTGTAGATAACTGAGTGCTGGACTGTTCTGGAGCAGCCCTGGGAGGGCTGGGTGGGAAGGCTTCACCACCACAGCCTAGGGCAGAGCCTCCATCTGTGCTTCCCCCTTGGTGCCTTGCAGGACACTGAGCTCCTCCTTGCTTTCCAGCACAATTACAGAGGCAAAGCACTTCTGTAGACAAGATCTCAGGGATAGGTTTGTAGGGAGTGGGACGGCAAGTTCTCATTCCCAATGTCTGTTCTGTCTAGCCCCAGCTAAGAGCACGACCCTGCTGCAGTGACCTTCACCCCAGGCCTGCAGAGGAGCTTCCTTCTGCTCTGTGGGAAGGAGAGGGGATCCTCTCCTTTGTTGAAAACAAGCTTTGTTGCTTTTCTTGTGCTTGTCTATAAATGCACAAATGAAAGGTAAAAAACCGATTGAAATTCCACTTAGAAGCAGCTGATTTCATTGCAAGATTTTCCAGTTAAGTTGGAGTCTCTCCAGCACAACCTCTTGGATAGCGCAGAAACTTTGTCAGACTTTCCTTTTTCTTCATTTTACCCTTTTTTCATTCCCACATAACGCATTAGAGGTGTTCATTGGGTTTATTTGATTTTTCCTTCATGGAATCATGGGTAGTTTCATTGCAGCTCATCTCTTTCTGTTTGTTTCGTATAGGGCTGGTAGTGCAGGACCATTCAGACCCCCTGTTCAGTTCCTATGCCTATAAGTCCCACTATCTACTGAATGAGTCAAATCGTGCTGAGTTGATGAAATTACCTATGATTCCTCCTCCTTCGTCAGCTTCCAAAAAGAAATGTGAGAAAGGTAACCAAAATAGTTTCTTTCTCTTTAATTTACTTTCGCTTTTTCTATTTTTTTCTCTCTAAATCAACGGAGAAATGTCTGCTTGTCCCCACACTGACTGCTTTCAGTGACCTTCACTCATGGTTATTGTGAGCCTGTGTTCATGTTGTTGGCAATTTTTTTTTATTTTTTTTTTTTTAAATTATAAAAGGGCTTAAAATAATTGCTGTCACTAAATTCTCCTTGGAAGAGATTTGGTCACTCTCTATCTGGCCTGGGCTGTTCCAGGTTCAGGGAGCTGTTTGCACAGCAATGTGAAGAAATGGATCTGGATATTGCTGCAGTTCCGTATTTACCTGGATGATGTAAAACCACTTCTTAAACTGGCTGAAAGCGGAGGGGGATGTGCTGCTTCAGATCTTGTGCAGGTCCTGAGAGAAGAGAGGGGTGGGTGCCGTGTCCTTCTGGAGGGTTCCAGAGCAGGGAGCAGTGAGGTTTGGGCTGTGTGTGTCCCCTGGGCCTCGTGTCCCAGCTCTGCCACCGAAGCAGCAGTGCCCCATCCCTGTCCCCTCCCATGGGGACGGGTCCTTGCCCCAGCCAGGCTCTGACCCCGCAGCTCTGGCCAGGGAGCACCTCCTGCTGCTGCTGAGCGGGGCTGGGGCTCTCCACATCCCTCCCGAGGCAGTTCTGCTGTCCGTGTGCAGTGCTCAGATGTGAGATCTCATTCCTCACAGAAATTTGCTTCCCTGGGAGCGTTCAGAGCCAGTTCCCCATTACCCAGCCCGAGTCAGGTCGCTTTGAGCGTTGTGACATCAATGGCTTGCAGTAGTCCTGTAATTCCTGAAAACAAGAATTATTTTGAGCCCTGTGCTTAGCTTGAGCCATATCTGCCTAATGCATCCCAAGAGCAATGTTGGGTTTTTCTTGCTTAGCATTGACAGTTTTGTGTTTGATTTTGTTTGATTTTTGCATCTCTTGGCTTTTTCTCATCTTGGATAATGTTTCAGTAATTTGTCTGTATTTCCTCTGAAATTACATTTGCAAAAAATACTTTAAAATTTCATTATGGGTTTGGGAGCTCTGGAGGACACATATGGCTGGATTTTACTGGTTTTAGCAGAGGAAATACAGTGTTGTTCTGCAACTGAATTGTTTAAGGAATGCTCATTGTAACATGCAGTGATCAATTAATACAGTGATATTTTGGGAAGTCTATAGGTGGACAAAATTTTCTGATAAAGGTTTGAAAGTGACTGCACTTCTTTTGATACTGTGATTGAAAATTGGTTTGAATACTCTCAAGTCTCTCCCAGATTTTCTATCTGGGACAAAAAAATCTTGTTAATTTTTAAATAAATATATATATATATATGTATGTATTATATACCTACATGTATAAAATACTGCAGTATGTGTAATATATCAAGTCATCTTACACAAGCTGCTTTGCTGAGGGTGGCTTAGAGATGTGCTGTGGCTCTCCACATGTAACACATCGTTGAAAATGTGAACCAACCAAAATAACTTTTGCCCAAATTAATGTAAACTTAAACTTGAGAAATTCATGTGAACCCCGGCGCTGAGGTTCCTTCTGTGCACCAGGAATTTCGGGATGGGGACAACTCACGTGTGTCTCATTCTGCTTTAAGTACTGGGCTCATCCTGGTAAACTTTTTGTGGAATAAACACTCTTATTACAATTTTTTTCCTGTCCTTGCAGCAGAAAAGTATTGATCAACCTATAGGCTGCGGGGTTGGTGCTCGCTAATGATCGCTGGGGATTCAGTCAGAGCAATGTTGATTGAAAAGGATTCTTTAAACCTGTGGAGTTTTGTGGTTGCTTTGGCCATCACCGAAGCACTAAAAGCTGGTTGCACTATTCCCAGCTGCAGTGCTTCCCTTGGGAACAGCGCTGCTCCTGCCAACTCACCTTGTGTCTGAGTCCTCAGCTGCCTTTGTGTCTGATGCAGTTAAGAGTCCCTGCTTAGACTAAGCACTGCACAGTCCTTTTTAACCAACATTGTTAAGCTTGACTTGATCCCTTTCTTCTGCCGTTTTTCTGTGGGGCAGAATCTGGAGTGGATGATTTAAAATGAATGTCAATTGCTGTGCACGGGGGGAGCAAATCCTGACTTCTACAAACCAAGCAGGGCTTCTTTGTTTCAAGGTGGCAAACTGTTGTGCTGTGAGTCCTGCCCAGCTTCCTTCCACCCCGAGTGTCTCAGCATAGAAATGCCTGAGGGATGCTGGAATTGCAATGACTGTAAAGCTGGCAAGAAGCTGCGGTACAAGCAGATCGTTTGGGTCAAGCTTGGGAATTACAGGCAAGTTCACCTTTTGGGGGTTCTGATAGATGTTTTAATGTGCTCTGGAATTGCAGGAAGATAAAGCAGTTCAATCATCATGAACAAGAGTTAGAAACACAGTAATTCCTCTGCCTGGGGTCTGACACAGATGTCACCCTTGAAATGCAATGCTGCTGCTTCTCCCAGGCAGTGCTGGACTCTGGATTGCACACACACACCTTTGCTCTGCAGAGCTTGTTCAGGAAAAGCAGGGGCTGGTAGAGCCCAGCTGTCCTTGCTGGTGTTTGCTTCAGTCAGCTGCAGCAGTACAGGTGTTTACAGGTGATCCTGGAAACCCACTCTCAGGCCATGGATGTTCTTAGAAGGCTTTTCCAGAATTTGGAGTAAGAATCTTGCTTGTGTTCTGCATGGAGCTTCCCAGGCATTGCCAGTGGCAACCTTGGCTGCATGAGGGAGGAATTAATTTCCTTAAGAATGGAAAACTGGCTTTTATTTCTCAATCCCATTAGGGAAACTGGGAAGCTTTGGTTCAGGGAACTTACATTCTTCTTTTCTCTCCTACTCTGCAGGTGGTGGCCAGCAGAGATCTGCAATCCCAGGTCTGTGCCTCTCAACATACAGGGCCTCAAACATGATATCGGGGACTTCCCAGTATTTTTCTTTGGTTCACATGACTACTATTGGGTACACCAGGGCAGAGTTTTCCCTTATGTTGAAGGAGATAAAAGCTTTGCTGAGGGGCAAACTAGTATTAACAAGACCTTCAAGAAAGGTAAAATCAAACAAAGTTTATAGTGGTTTATGACAAAAATTCCACGTGTTTGTGTCTCCATCACCACTTAACCTGCATGGGAATATTATGTGACTAGTGTTCTGTGTTCACGTGAAATCCAAGCATTGTGTTGATCCCTTGACTGCAGATAAAAATGTGTTTAAGTGCCTACTCATTGTGTGTTGTTGTGGGCCAGTTCAGTGCTTCCACAAACGGGGAAATGTTAAGATGTTCTTGGGTTCTGCTGCATGGGATCATTGTTCAGTATTTTGGTACCTGCTGTGAAAGTACCTGATGATAAATTGCAATAACTAATTTTTAGCTTGTCTTTTTGTTAATAGAGTTCTGTTCCTAGTCTTAAAAAAAAATAAAATTAAATAGCTACATGTACAAGTACATATTTGATTAGCAGCAGCTGGGGCTGATTGCTTTCTATTCTGAATTCCTTGCACAGCACTTGAAGAAGCAGCAAAGCGTTTCCAGGAACTGAAAGCACAAAGAGAAAGCAAAGAGGCATTGGAAATTGAAAGGAATTCAAGGAAACCTCCACCCTATAAACACATTAAAGTGAGTTGGCCTCTTTTATTTTTATTCAGTGTGTGAGGAAGTTGCCCTGTGCATGAGTAAGGATGCCTAGAGAAGGTGTGGCTGCCCACTCCCTGGCAATGTTCAAGGATGGGCTGGCTGGGGATCAGAGCAATCTGATTTAATGGAAGGTGTCTCTGTCCAGGCAGGGCTTGGGACTGGACAGTCTTTAGGGTCCCTTCCACCCCACACTGTTCTGTGATTCTCAGTTCAAGGTGTTCAATAGTGGGAGCCTAAAGAAATTCACATAAATCATTTTGCAGTTCTTTTCACTAATCTCGTGTTGTGTTTTGCAGTGCCATAAAACACAGGATAAAATAATAGGGTTTTTTGCCTTTTCATGGCAGTTGTTGACTGCGTTCCCAGTGTGTTGTCTTCATCCTTTGCTTCCCCCTTTGTTCCCCAGTCCAACAAGGTGATTGGGAAGGTTCAGATCCAGGTGGCCGACCTGTCGGAGATTCCACGCTGTAACTGCAAGCCGTCGGACGAGAACCCGTGCGGGCTGGAGTCGGAGTGCCTCAACAGGATGCTGCAGTACGAGTGCCACCCGCAGGTGTGCCCGGCTGGGGAGCGCTGCCAGAACCAGTGCTTCACCAAGAGGCTCTACCCCGACGCCGAGATCATCAAAACCGAGCGCCGCGGCTGGGGCCTCCGCACAAAAAGGAGCATTAAAAAGGTAGAGTGACCCAGGACAGCGCTGTTGGCAGCCATTAGGGTGGGTCTGGGTGAAAGCATTGCACTCTGCACCTGCAGAGAATGAGCTGTGTTTTAACACCTCAGCAGCTGCCAGAGCAGTGTGCAATGCATTGGTCACCTTGTATTGAGGTGTCAGATATGTCCCAGCTTTTCTGATTTTCCTTAGAAAACACTATTGGCCTGGAGGGCTGCTTTTAAACTATTTAAGTTTAATGGGTTTAACCATTAATTTTATTAAATTCAGAACTTTTTTAATCTGCCTTTCATGAAAACTGTGTTACTGCAAACGTTCTGAGTTTGACTACTGAAGTCCTAATAAAAGTGAAGAATGTAGCGAAAATACTTACTGTAACAGCTCCTGTTTCCTGAGGAGTCCATGCATATTGTCACTTTGTTTTCTGTGAAAGAAGGTTGAAGACAACTGTCTTGTGTACTGAATGCAGGAACAGGGCTGCCTTTTATTCTGCGTGGGTGTGTTGCTTGGGCAGCAATTACCTGGTGCATGTGTGGATGTTAAATATCAGCAAAAGCAGGGAGCACAGTGTCTGTGGAAAGCAGGCCACATAACTGTCTCAGTCTCGCCTGAGAAGGTGGCCTGAGAAATGATGAGAATTAAAACAATCCTCAGAGACAGAAGACAGCCTTGCAGGTGCTATTTGTCAGTTTTTTGTTGTCTTGCAAGAGAAGGTGGAGGGGTGGTGTACCCCACTGCCAGTGATGGTGATGTGTCAGTTCACTGACCAATGAGAGTTTTACCTGAGGTAATAAACCTCACTCTCCTGTTCAGCTCACAAGGGAGTCCGTGTCCTGCTTCTCTCCATTCCCAATAGAGTGACAGTGCTTGTATTCACACTGTGCCTACTAGACCAGTAAAGTGTAACACTTTTTGTGATGATTGGAGTCTTTTTTATAGGAAATGCTTTTTTCTGTGCTGCTTCCCTTTATCATTAGGATTAGGATGCATAGAGATTTCTTACTTTTGCTCTCGTTTCTTCTGCAGGGTGAATTTGTGAATGAGTATGTTGGGGAGCTGATTGATGAGGAGGAGTGCCGGCTGCGGATCAAACGAGCTCACGAGAACAGTGTCACCAATTTTTATATGCTAACTGTAACCAAGGTGAATATCGTGTCTTGTTCAATAGCAAATGTCACTCAGCAGCAGGAAACCTCTTTGCTTTGTAAATAATAAACACATCTTTGTCTTTTTCCTTGAAGGACCGAATAATAGATGCTGGCCCAAAGGGGAACTACTCTCGTTTTATGAACCACAGTTGTAACCCAAACTGTGAAACACAGAAGTGGACAGTGAATGGTGACATTAGAGTTGGACTGTTTGCTCTTTGTGACATTCCTGCAGGTAAGAAGATGGCACTGTTTTGGCATGTTTGCTTTTGTCTTGCAGTTCCTCACTTAGAATTAGAGTTCTTGCTTTGAAGTTGTTCATACCAGTGAAATGTTTAGGAACTTTGTCATTAATGGGAGTGGAGATGATACATAAGGTTCCAGTTTTCACAGGGGTCTCATGGTAACAAATGCTAATGAAATGTCATTGTCACAGGCCTGTCCTTCAGTGTCCCTCTGGGTGAATTGTTTTTCTTTCAATTTTAGGAATGGAGTTAACATTCAATTACAACCTGGATTGCCTGGGAAATGGCAGGACCGAGTGTCACTGTGGAGCAGAAAACTGCAGCGGCTTCCTGGGAGTGCGTCCCAAGGTACATGGATGAAACTGGAGCTTCTCCTCCCTAATGCAAAATAGGGCAAATAGGGTTTAGATTTATTTCACTCTTTAACCTATCTAACACTTTTTACCCTTCAAAGTCTCCAAAGATTTTATAGTGTGGCCTGCCATGCTGTTGTGTCTGGTGGGAAGTTAATTCAGACACATCTGAATGAGCACTTCTGGCTCTTAGAGCTTAAAAGCTATTTTAAATGAATCTCATTTAAGGAGAGTTCATGCAAATTATAACCCAAAATTGACTTGAATGGCAGGGGTTTATAAGTTACTCTGTGTTGTGATTTTCTCCTTCTTAGACAGCATTTGCAACGGCAAATGAAGAAAAGGTGAAAAATGCAAAATTAAAGCAAAAGAAACGGAAAATAAAAACAGAACAGAAGCAGATGCATGAAGATAACTGTTTCCAGTGTGGAGATGGGGGAGAACTGGTCATGTGTGATAAGAAGGACTGTCCCAAAGCATACCACCTCCTATGCCTTAACCTGACTCAACCACCTTTTGGTAAGAGCAGTCACATGGCTCCTCCTGCTCAGCTTTTCCTTCCTGCTACAAGACAGTGTTGGAGGTGAAATGCAGCGTTCACGTATATAAAACACAGTGTTCACTTGCATTAAATGCAGTATTCATTTGCACTAAATGCACCAAATTTGCTTTTGCAATACCATGCACTTTTAGCAGTACATCCAGGGACTGTTCCTGAATGGAACCAGTGGACAAAGGTTTTGTCATATTGTTTATGTTGTTCCTGTTCCTCTCCTTGAGTCAAACTTCCTCTTATTTTGATTGACACGTGAGCATCATCTTGGTGTCCTAGCACAAGCAAATGACAGTTCAAACAAAGACAAAGTCAGCAGAATGTGTAGGGCTGACCTAAAGCTTCCTTTGGAGGTACCCTCTGAGGAGCACAGTGTCCAGGACAATGTGAGATGCTCACAAATCAGGAAAATGTACAAAACAAACTCTGTCTTGCAAGGACATTCAGTGCCTTGACACCCAGGGAGATAGATCTGACTGTTTTAAGGTTTGGTTGTGCATGCAGTAATGTTCTGGGCCAAGAGAGGCCTGGAAAATCCAAAATAGATCTGTGTTCAGTCAGGTTCTTGTATATGAGAAGCAGAAGCAGCAGCTGATTTTTCTGAACTTTGTTTGCATTCATCTGAGCAATCCAACACAGAGTGAGGGTTAAAGGCCGGTGCTGTCTGTGAAGTGCACTAATTCCAGCTTCCTTCCTCTTTCTCCTCCCATCCTCAGGAAAGTGGGAATGTCCGTGGCACCAGTGTGACATCTGTAGCAATCCTGCCGTGTCCTTCTGTGAGTTCTGCCCCCATTCCTTCTGTAAGGATCACGAGAAGGGAGCGCTGGTGCCGTCGGCGCTGGACAGCCGCCTCTGCTGTTCCGCACACGACCCCAAATCTCCTGTGGCACCCGAGTACTGGAGCAAGATCAAGTGCAAATTGGAAGCACAGAATGCTGTGGAAGAGGCAAAGGAGTGAATTTGGTTAAAAACAAACACGGGAGGGGAGAAGAGGGGCAACAGGCGATGAACTCAGATTGCAATGCCACACTTGTCCTTGGAGCCAGCACGTGTGAGCTGGAATGGGACCATTGACCTGAGGGAGAAGGACCAGGCAGTAGTGTTTGGTTTTTGTTTGGTCTTTCTTTTACCCTTGAATGTGCTACAGCAGCTCTTACTGTTGGAAACAAGGAGCGTCTTGGCCTTTGAAGAAAACCGTAAACCTTTTGACAGTGAAAAGAATATTCTGTTTAAAATAATGTTCTTTGGGTGTAGAAAGCAAAACATAGCCACATATTTATTTATTTAATTTTGAAAGGGTTTTGAAGATCTGGCTTTGATCAGTCATCGTGTCTTTAAAAACAAAACAGCGAAGCCAACGTAACTTTTGTGTCTAGTTTATGGAAAGAGCAAAGCCTCTCCCCTCTGTAACACTGAGATGCCAAACAGACAGGTGTGGGTGTCAGACCAGGTGGCTCTGAAATGCCTCTGTTCCAGTACTTACTGTTAAAGGCATTGGAGAAGGTAGGTTGTCTCTCATGTTTACTTACCAATATTATTGTGAAGCTTTTCCTGTGAGAAATCAGGTGTGTGACTTCTGGGAAGTGCATATAACACAAGGTCTGGCAGTGGGGAAAAACGGTGGCTCCTCGCTCCAGAGCTGCCTTGGGTTTTTGCAGACGCATGCAGAAATTCAGAGTTTACTTGCACAGTGGTCATTCCTTTATCCCACCTATTCTGAAAGCCCATCTCAAGCAGGAGAGGCTCCCAGCCTCAGTCACAGCTGAAGTCAGTCCTGCCAGTGGGTTCATCATCTGCCACATCTGCGCTGCTTTGGTGGCAGTTACTGGGTGTGATTCTTCAGTCCTGCCTTCTCAGGCTGCCCTTGGCTTCAGGGGGACGTGGGCACGAGAGGGACCTGACCCATGTCCACGTTGGTTTCGATGGAATGTTAAGATTTTCTTGCTGAGAGAGAGCTTCTAACTTTAATCTTCATTGTTAATGGAGCTGAGGAACATCTTGGCACTTCCTCAGTGAACAGGGTATTTTGTGTCTGGGTAAGGGGCCATATCCCAGCAGCCAGCTGATACCTCAGGAGTGGTTCTGTCTTGGATTTCCTCTGTTAATCAGAGAGACAGACTCCTTCAGTGAGGCTTTCAAAGTGGCTTATGTTGGCTCTCGCTCCAGAATTTTTTTAGGAAATCTATATTGTTCCATTTCTTTTGTGCAAGGAGCCACAGGGCACTGGTGTCCTCAGGCTGGAGCTAGTTTTGGTGACTCTTCCCCCCAGCCCATGATCTTACCAAGCACTGTGTCTCCCCTCCTGCCCTGGTATAGCGAGTACTTCTGACTTGTGTACTGCTAGTAGCTACTCCCTGCCAGCCTTTGCTCCTGGGTACTGAAAATAATTGAGTGTTGGTGGCATCTGGCTGAACTGAGCCTTGGAATTAAGAACCTTGTCTCTAGAAAACTGCTTACAGAAACCTGTGGGAACACAGAAACTTCTCAGATCTAGAAAATAGGCTGAAAAAGTCTCTGTGGAATTCAAAAATGTCTTGCCTCTGCCTGGTGTCCTCATCCTCAAATTGATGTAAAGGTGGAGCTTTTTGTGTGTGCAATGGTAGAGTGATACACTACAGTCCCTGAGCAGCTGCTGTGCTGTGGGCTCTGCCCAGAGCTCCTGCCCACACCTCTCTTGGGGTGACAGAACCCACAGGTGTCCGGGGCACTCCTGGGGCAGCAGCTCTTGGGATCCCTAAAGCACTTCCTGCTGTGGGCCACGCTCCAGTAGGGTCCAACACTAACCCTGCTGGAAAGCAGTGCTGGATTTTGGTATTTTTAAAGAAAAAAAAAAATTACAAAAAGGATTTTATTTTTCTTAATGTTTTGTGTGAGAAATGTCTTTTTTTAAGCTCTTATTGAGGATGTTTAACCTTCTCAAATTCCAAACACAGCTCTTGCTACCACTCTGTAGGACCTGAGGTGTTCACTTTATATTAGGCTTGATAATGCTCAGTGATTTTCTCTGAAGTCAGAGCATTCTGATACTGCAGATATCAGCTGATATATTTTATATATATATATGTGTGTGTTTGTGTGTATATATATATATATATATATATATCAGGTATGTTGCTGATATCGTGCTGCTGTGTGAGTGCACTGACCTGCTCCCTTCATTCTGTGTCTGTGGTGACCTCCTGAGCAGGGGGACGTGCTGTGGCAGCACCAGAACACCTTGGGAGCATCAGACAGGAGCCACAGACTGCCAGTGGCCACCCTGGTCATGCTACAGAGCTGTGCCGGGGCACAGGGAGGGCACAGAAGGTTTAAAACTTGTCAAATGCTGTGATGGAGGCTGCTGCTCCTGTGCCACCTGCTGTCCTTGTACACTTTGTGTTCAGACTTCTTAGAGATGCTTCTTTTTTTCCACCAAGAAAGGATTCATAGCAGCCAATAGCTGGGCTTGGACTCAGAAGGAAAAACAGGAGAGGTTGTTCAGTTTGTGAGCAAACCTCTGAACTGAAGAGAAGGTGAGTCTTTCCAAAAGCTTTAATGTTAGATGAGAAAAGGCCAGTTCAGAGGATCTTGGTGACTGCAGGGGCTGTGCTGAGGGCCAGACTCAGATGTTAAAATGCACATTTTAACCATGTCTTTGGGAACTGAGTAACCAGAATGTAGTTGCTTAGTGCAGTTCCTTTGTAAGGGAAAGATTGCACCGCTGTTGTGATGGATTGGCTTCAGCAGAGTGGGAGGCAGCTGCTGAATTCATTTGTGTGGGCTCCAAAACAAGGAATCTTGGATAGTTGGGTCATTTCATGCTGAGACCTAGAGGAAATCCACAGAACTGGTGATTTTGGTGGAGAACTGCGGTGTGCTGTCCCTTCATGGGAACAGACCAGTATGTTTCCCCCTTTTGTGTTAAGTTTTTGGGGTGGCCCCACACTTCTGGTGACCTCCTGCCTCCAGCTCTGGCACCTGGGCAGTGCCTGAGCTGCTCTGCCCAGGGAACATTTGTGGTTTACTGGAGCTTGTCCTCTGCAGCTGCAGCTGGACACAGTGCAGGCATCCTGCAGCCCTCTAGGATCAAGAATTCCACGATTCTGTGGTTGCAGTGGTGCAGAGGCTGGTTCCACCATTCCTGAACACATAGTGCAAGCTGTTGTAGCTGTCAGATTATTGTATAGACTTGTCCTGTCCATAGAGTGTTGAAGGCGTTTGCAGCTCAGGAAGGAAATTTTGTGGGCAAATCACCTTCTCTGGTCACCACATGGTCTTGGAGAATCAGTTCAAATGGAGTAATAGGGCTGGAATGTGGATTTTTGGCCTTTCTTCTAAAAAAAAAACCCTTCTTTTATCTTAATTTCAGGATAGAATGGGAAAGACACAATTACTAGACATAATTATCAATGAGCATAAAATCTGTATATATTGAAACTTTACAGAATTAAGTGGGGGGGGAGGGTGGGATGGGGGTG